GTTGGGGCTGTCGGCCGACACGATCTGCCTCTTCAAGAGGGTGAGGGGGTGGTGGTGGGGAGTGACGGGGGCCATCCCGGTCCCCCCCCTCCCCAGCCCTCACTGGCCCCTGCCCCGACAGTTTGACGAGGGACGGACAGACTTCCCCGTGGACCCAGCACAGGGGCTGGATGTGGCCAAGCTCACCAGGCTGCTCCGCGTCCACAGCCTGGAGCTGGTGATGGAGTTCACCAACGAGGTACAACCCGGCCACAGCCCTGTCACCATACCCGTGAGGGCCATGGCCCCCTGGCCCTCACCCTCCTCCTGCTCCCCAGACCTCTGACCAGATCTTCAGTGCCAAGATCCCCCACCACATGCTGCTCTTCCTCAACAAGTCATCGTCGGCGCAGCTGGCGCTGCGAGATGGCTTCCGGGCAGCTGCCGGCACCTTCCGGGGTGAGGTGAGGAGGTCCCGTGGTGGGGACATGGGTGGGGTGGCCGTGGGGCAGCCTGGCATCAGTGCTGCCTCTCCCCCACCCAGGTGCTCTTCGTGGTGGTGGACGTGACCGGGTACGGCGCAGATGTCCTGCCCTTCTTTGGCCTGACACCTGCCGACGCCCCCACCCTGCGCCTAGTCAAGATGGAGAACAACCGCAAGTACCAGATGGACCAGGACGCCTTCTCAGACACAGCCATACGCACCTTCATCCAGGCGGTGCTGGATGGCAAGGTGAAGGTGAGGGATGCGGCACCGTGCCAGTCAGCACCAGCGATACTTCCCTGTGGTGAGCGGTGGGTTGTTAACTCTGAAGCCTAATGATGGCAGTTGTGCGGTGAACACCAGCCACCTGCTCGCTGATGCTTGTGCTGCCAGGCCTGAGGATTTGGGGGGTTGTTACGGGAAAGGAGGAAGGGGACTGTTGATGTGGAGACACACAGAGCTGGGATGGTGGCAGAGGGGAAGAGGTGGACCAAAAGGCAGCACAGGAGCACCCCTGGCTGCAGGCTAGGGGCCCCCATCCCGTGCTGTGCCCCATGGGGCCCTGGCACCATTAACCCCGGGCTGTGGCTGACCCGGCTGTCCCCACAGCCCCGCCTGCTGAGTGCGGAGCCCCCCAAGGACTGGGACACGCGGCCCGTTAAAGTCCTGGTGGGCAAGACCTTCGAGCAGGTGGCGTTCGACGAGACCAAGAATGTCTTCGTCAAGTTCTGTAAGTGCCGGGGCCACCGGCGACCCTCCCCGAGCTCTGCACGGGGCTCAACCCCCCCCCACCGTGACAGCCCCCAGCCCTGACCCCTCACCCGGGGAACGCTGCACCCTGACCCTGGCGGAGCCCCGGTCCCCCGGCTTGTACCCCGGCACTGTGCCTGTCCCGCAGACGCGCCGTGGTGCTCCCACTGCCAGGCGATGGCGGCCGCCTGGGAGAAGCTGGGCGAGCGCTACAAGGACCATGAGGACATAGTTATTGCCGAGTTGGACGCCACGGCCAACGAGCTGGAGAACATCACCATCAACGGCTTCCCCACCCTGCACTACTTCCCTGCGGGGCCGGGCAGGAAGGTAGGTGGGGGCACCCGTGGGGCCACCCTGGCTCTGCTAGCACCTGGGGGACGGGGTCACTCCTCATCTCCCTTCTGGCTCCAGATGGTTGAGTACAAGAGCGCCCGAGATGTGGAGACCTTCTCCAAGTTCCTGGAAAATGGGGGGACGCTGCCTGAGGAGCCGCCTGCGGTGAGTCATGTTCCCCCACGCCAGGGCCAGGGACCCCCACCCACGCCAGGGCAGCTCCCAGCCTTCGCTGGGCAGGGAGACAGATCCTGCGGGATAGGGACGGGGACAGGCAGGGTGTGTGTCCGTCCGTGCCTCACCGCTGCCTTCTCCAGGTGCCCAAGACCCCTGAGAACAGCACAGGCAGGGAGGAGCCGAGTCCACTTGGGACAGCTGAAACCCGGGATGAGCTGTGAGCCCTGTCCCGCTTGGGCTCATGCTATAAACAACCTGGAAACGATGCGGGCTCTGCTCTGTGTCTGTGGCCCCCCAGCACGTCTTGGGGAGCACCCATGTGTCTTGGGGACGCAGCAGGGCCGGCAGGGGCCGCATGCCGCGACACCCCCGCTGCCAACTGAACCCTGAACCCGGTGCTGCGACAGGCAGAGCCCCTGCTGCCAACTGAACCCAGGGGGGTGCTGCAAGGGGCCCTCTGCCTGCCTGCCAAGGGGTGCTGAGCCAGCACAGCCCTGTGTGTGTCGTGGCGCTCGTCCTGGCAGCCCTGCGATGACACAGGGTGGCCAAGGCCACGGAGGACACAGCCCTGGGGGGAGCCCGGCTCTCTCCACGCTGGCCCTTGTGCTGGGCTGCTGGGGTGCAGGTGATGGGGGGAACCAGCCGGGGTCTCTCCTTCGTGGCTCACAGGCAGCCCTCCCACCCCAGGCCCGGGCTCCACAAACGTGTACCAGC